CATGTACTCCCTCCGAGTACCAGTATACCGAGGTGTGGATTGCCGCCTCTTCATTAGGCCAAACCTCGAATTAGCTCTTCGGTGTGAGCGAAACCTGAACTGGTCTCCAAAGTAACCTAGGCTGGACGAAGTAGCCTATATCAATATTATTGTATAAATGTTCGATAATTATTATTTTTGAACAAAAATAATTGATTTTATAATATAATAACTATAATATTTCATTTTAGAGTAAAAAACAGTTTACCCCCTAAACTATGACCCGTTTTGCGCTTTGCCCCCCAAACAATTTTTTTTTGCACGTTTTTACCTAAACTTGGTTTTTTGTTGCACGGTGCCCTAAAAATGCTATTTTCCGGCAATTTTGACCGGAATCTTACACACATGCCACTCACGTGATTTGGCAGGGGCGAAATTGTCTTTTCCTTGCTAATACACACGTGGCGTCCAGCAGTATTCTTCTTTTCATCTTTCCCAATTCCCCTCTCTCGCTTATGTTCCTGGCAACCGCCACCATTGTTTTCACATCCACCTTCTGAACCCAAAAATTAGTGCAACTTTCAAGAATCCTATCCAAATCATTCAGCCACCCATATTTCCCCTGGGACACTATCATCAACTCAGAGCTCAAAACCTCATTTCCTTACTTATCTTTCTTGTTTTGTTCTTATTATTTTTCTCCTTTTTCATTCCGTTGGTTCTCGTCGCGGAAAGCAGAATCGGAGATGAAATAATGGGAAGAGTCCAGCTTAACGACATCGAGGTCTTTGGTTAATGGCCACTGAATGTCGTCGGCAACGGCAGCGAGAACGGCCACGGCGGCGACGGTGTTGTCGCCCTGGCTGAGGTGGAGGAGGCGGAGAATGGTCATGAGGCCAATTGCCTTGTTGAGATTTAGGGCAGGGAACAATTTCTCCGGTGAAAGAATTTCTTGCTTTTCCCCCAATTCTCGGGTGGTTTATTTGTTGTGGCGATTGGTATCATTTTTGGTGGAGGATAAAGTTGCAGGGTTTGCACGTTTAGACGCCCCCGCCAGCGGAGGTGGCATCGGCTTCAGCGTCAGCGTCGAGTTTGCCGCCGGAGCAGTGTTGATGGTCAAAGAAAACCCCAAATTGTTATTCCAAAAAGTTCCAAAATTCAGTTCAAATAAAATATATTTAGATAGATTCCATCTTTGAGTTTGTGGTGAAAAGTTACGGCGGTGACACTTTGCAGGTCTCTCTCGAGGAAGGAGGAGGAGAGTTGCAGATTTTTCCTTCTTATTTTCTTTTCTTTTATTATTATTGTTTATTTTATTTGTTTTTTATTTAATATGATGAATGTAAGGGAATATACAATTTTGACCCTGCCAAACTCACGTGAATGGCACGTGTGTAAGATTCCGGTCAAAATTGCCGGAAAATAACATTTTTAGGGCACCGTGCAACAAAAAACCAAGTTTAGGTAAAAACGTGCAAAAAAAATTTGTTTGGGGGGCAAAGCGCAAAACGGGTCATAGTTTAGGGGGTAAACTGCTTTTTACTCTTCATTTTATTTTTCAGTTATTAAATTAAAATAATATGTAAACTATGTTCTATAGGTTACATACATAAATCATGTATCAATCTGTTATGATTAGTTACCCGTGGGGCCACAGTGTACTTTTGAGTTTTGAGGTTTTATTGATTCTATTTTTGCGTGCAATTTTCTGCTTAAGTCTACATTTTGACATTTTGTCTTCTTTATTTAACTAATCGCTTCCGAAAATGCTTTCATTGAAAAGCAACAAAAACTACCTCAAACGATGCAGAATGGAGAGGGGATTAGGGTCCCCATCACTTGCAACCCGAGACTATGGTTTCTTGCCTGCGGTGCTGTGGTTTCCGTTAACTGATGCTTTCGATGTTGTTCGGAATCGAGTTGGATTATATCCATTGGGGTATTTCATCAAACATTTGCTAGCGAACTCCGTTAACTTGTTTTTCCAATCTCCTCCAATGAGAACAAACTGAAATTCTGTACGAATTTGAAATAGTTTATTAAGTTTTTTGCCTTAACATTTTATTTTTCTTCTTCTGAATGGGGTTTTTTGATGATCAATCTATACATACAACATAGGTCTTAACAGTCTTTTTCCCTATGTACTAGGTATATATGGATTAGTCTAGCATCAGTTTTGTTCTTGTCTTTCTATGTTGTTGTGGATGTCATTGGTGTCTTTGCACCATTGTTTTTGTGTTTTGGTTTGTGCTATATTTTTTTCTCTGAGCTTTACCTTTCACTTGTTTTATTGGATGTATAATATCTTTTTGCTCTTCTAATTATCATTGGTGTCTTTGCATCATTTTTTTTGTTTTCAATTCCATTTGAGGTATCTTGTTTCTCTATCTTGAAATTTATCTTTCAATTATTCCGTTACAAAGGGTTGATCTTATATGGGCATACGAACCCCAACAAAATATGCAAGGCTTTGCAAACGAGGCATTAAAGTCAAAGAGGAAAGCCTTAGCACAATTACATAGCAATATGAAGGGGAAAGAAAGCCTTCTCTCACACTCTCTTTGCGAAAGTGTGCCCGTCGGCTACTTATTTCTAGGGGTGGGCATTCGGGTCGGGTTATTCGGGTATAACCCGACCCGGTCGGGTATTACCCGACCGGATCGGGTAATTTTTGACGTAAGCGGGTTTTTCCCGGGTTCGGGTACCCGGTGCTCCCAAACCAGGTCGGGTCCGGGTATTAGAAATCCTACCCGGGTACCCGATCGGGTACCCGGTTGAATTTTTTATATATATATATATATATATATATATATATATATATATATATATATATATATATATATATGTCTGTATAGATATGTATATCTTAAGTAAATTTCGAAAAAGAAAAAAAAAAAAAAAAGAGGAAAATAGCAACACCCGAACCCGACCCGAACCTGACCCGAAATAACCGGGTACCCGGTTGCCGGGTACCCGGTTATCTCGGGTCGGGTTCGGGTAATTTTTTTTTTTTGCAAAAAACCCAAATAACCCGAATAACCCGACCCGACCCGAATGCCCACCCCTACTTATTTCCCTTCTTCTCTTTTGGTCATACCCTTCTCTTCTTTTCTTTTCTTTTCTTTATCATATTTGAAAATGTCCGACTTGTTACTTATTCTATTCAATTTGGTGGAATTCTATTTTTGATTGAGTTATGGGAGTTCTTGTTAGTTTCAAACGCTGAATCTGAGTTTTTCAGACATTTGAATACATAATTGAAATTTGTTGTCCCATGTTCGGTTTCTAATCAACATGTATGCTAATTGGATATGTTCAACTGGTTACTTATATTTGCGTTTGTTTATCCCTTCGAACAGAGTTTAAGCGTGTTATCTAACTCTCGGTTTCTAATCAACATGCTACAGTGATATTAATTTGTTGGTTCATTGTGCAAGTTGTAGGCAATCACTGATACATGGCTTTTCATGATTAGTATGTCGAAGGTCTTAAATGTTTGATTAATCGTTTTCCATGGCGAAGGCGGTCCCAAACGTTTACAATTTTGGTGTAAATGTTTTACATGATATATAATTTATTAATGTATGAATTTTAATTTTAAAATTATATAGTTATTTTATTAGAATTATTATATATGTTTATAATTTATTCTTGATTATTTATATGTGAAAAGAACATAATAAGTTGAGAATTCGTTCCAACTTCCATCTCGAGTATTATTTTCTTAGCTTTTATATTTTAAATTAATAGATATATTCGACTTAATTTAAGAAAATAATTTGAATTTCAAATAAATATTAATTTGCATAAAATCCCCTTGTATTGTAGAAAATATGCACTAAATCTCCCTATGTTTTGTTTTGAGATCACACCGTGGCTTGAACTTTCTCTCAAATGAGGAGGGGAAACTACGTTCCTAATACTCCCTCCGTTCCTAAATAACTGTCTCTTTTCACTTTTCACGAAGATTAAGAAACTCAATAAATATATCTTGATTTTAGAAAAATCATATAAAAATGACTAAAACAACCTTTATTATTTAATAATTTATAAGAGAAAATTAATAATTAGATTTTTATTAATAAGGTTAAAACAGGAAAAATGCATTTAATGCAGTATTGAAAATCTAAAGTGACAGATAATATGGAACAAAAATATTTTTAAAAAGAGACAGTTATTGTGGAACATAGGAAGTAATATTGAATTTTTTTTAGACACGTGTAGGATTTTGAGTGGAACTTGTGAGTGCTAAAATGGCGAATACAGGTACTAGCTCCTAGTTATGATGCATACATCAATTATTCTGCATTACATTAAGACGGCCAAAGATTATTCATATTAAGCTGATAATACAAGTGAGTCAACTTGTTTATGTTTCTTCCCTTGAAACATATATAGTTTTCCTTCACCATCCTTAGAAACATCGACTATGTACGTTTACAAGTAGGGAAAATATGCATTCATCTTCTAGTTTCTTTTCTTTCTGCACGTCAGCAACTAAAGGAAGCCTAATTTTTCAGGTGAAGATTATTCGACCACGTTTTTTGCAGATATAGTTTTGTTTTGTATGCAATGATAAAAGTGGTGTGGGCTATATATGTTCAAGCGTTACAAACAGAGCAATATTTAACGGTGAGTGATACAAAAGCTTGAATACAGAAGAGAGGTCAAGCAGCTTACACACCATGCATGCAACAATAAAGAGGTAGATAGATATTCCTCTAGCAGCTTTTATTTATGATTCTGCGGATTTTTTTATTTATTTTACATATAAAAGTTTGAGATCGAGGTCCGGTGTTGTATGCTTCTATTTGTCGTTTAGCCATCTGCGGAAAAGTTGAGATCTATTACCACCTTCTCTTTCTTAGCACAAATATTGCCTTCAACAATCTGTAAGATGTAAACAATTGCGTGTAATAAATTCATTTTTATGTAATCATAATTTATATGCAGGGTATCAACTTTAATAACCTCATTGACATGTTTTTTTTCTTCTTCCAGCATCTTTTCCTGTTCACACAATATAAGCTGTTGTAATCACTTATCTTACTTAACGTGAACCAATTATCCGCAATAAAATGCCCTAGCAACACACACACACACACACTGGAGAATACTCGGATACAACAATATAATGGTGGCAAAAATAGATTTCCGCACCTTTTCCTGAAGGCTTGACTGAGCATCTGTCACCAATTTTGTCTGCATGAAGTAATAAATTATGACATCACAATGTTGTATGAATGGAACTTAACCTTAATAAGTTTTTACAGGTTGACAAGAAACTGGAAAGAAGTCCACTAATCAAATGTTCAAGAGGTTCGAACATTCTTGCCACATAAGCTCAGCTCATCAAAAAGGTAAACAAAAACGACGATATGAATTCAACTTCTCTAGTTCATGAAATCGCATTGATATACCACACACACATATTCATAACTGGCTCTTGAACAAACTTTACGAGATAAAAGCTAACAAGAATATCATTATTTTAAGACAAATGTATCATAGCTTTGCTTGGTCCAAAAAAAAAACATGAAACCTTAGTCGAACGTATCTCAATTAATGCAGTCTCAAGATGTTTCTGCATGAGCCCAAGGTCCGCCACACTTATCTGGTCAACACGTGGCTCCTTAAGTTCACTATGGGAAGAAATATAACTTATGAGTAAACAACCCCAAAATCTTTGCAACGAAAACAAAATAAAATTATTAATAAATCGGGAGTTACCTTCCAACTGTTTTGAGAAGCTCACTATATGAAAGATAATCACCGTTTCTGGAGTAAAGATCCTGCCAATCAAATCACCTTGTGAAATAATGAATGCCCTTATATGTAGATTAGTGTGTATATTTTGAAGAAACTTCTTCTTTATTAAAACTATGTTCCCATCTCTTATAAGAGTCGCCTCATTCTATAATATTATTATATATCTGGCATTTCTAATCCATAGCTCTATCATTTTAGAGCAATTGTGAGGGATTTCAAATCTCTTCTCATTTGGACTTGTTTTAAATCACCGAGTCCAAAGTGTCTAAGGCTCCATTTGGATGGAAGGATTTGATTTGGGGAAGTTATTTGAAACGACTATGATTTGTAGTCATTTGAAATCAACACGAATGACCCAATTTATAACTAAAAAGGAGGAGTGTGGATTTAAAATCCTTCATCAGATCTCTCAATCCAAACTAGTGCAAGAAATTTGTTATTATGGATTTGAAAACCCTCCTCAAAATCGTACCATCCAAACGGAGCTTAGAGACTTTACTTCAAACAAAAAATTGCCTTCCTACTTTGGTTCGAAGTAATGAATCACATCAGTTTGTAGATTTATTTCTATCCGTGGAAGAATTATTAGGCCTCAAATATTACACGAGACCGATGACTACAAAAATTCCAAACACCACATATCTCACAAGAATAAATATTATCAATCAAATTCATGTATTTATTAATATCACCAATCATGTAGTTATATGACATTCGTGCAAGATTATGAAATTATCTTCCCTAATTGATAAGTGATAATATTTCAAATTTCAGTAATGATCTCCACATTTTGACAATATAAATCTGAGTAAGACTTGTGTATTAAGTTTTTTTTTTTAGTTTTTTTACTTCCAAATTCATTGTCAGAGGCATAAATCTTACCTCTATATCGCAACCATCTTTCTCACTCTCGACTCGACTTTGATATTGTTGCAGGACCTGCACCATGCTGTTTAATAACAACAACAACAACAATAAACCTTAATGCTCATGCAAAAACAAAATAATATTGAGCTACAACCAAAAGAAGAATAAGAATGCAATTGGAATAAAGCTAAGGCAAGAAGAAATGGAATATTGGAAAGCAGATAAGGACACATTCATAAATTGTCTAGAATGTGTAGCATTCATTCCTTACAAACGTACAATATATTTTTGTTCTTACATCGCTAGTACGTAGAATATCCATATATTCTTTTTTCGATTAAAAAATAAAATGAAATTATATCTTGCTCGTATATATGGAACTCTTAAAATGTGACCAATCAACCAATAAGCAACATGAACTTCTAAATAAGCTCGAATTTTTCATTTGAACTCGTGTCTTAATTAAAAAGTGAGGTTTGTAATACTTTTTTTTAACATATTAAATAATGTTAGACTAGACGTAGGAGAACAAGAAAACTCGACATCAAGGTGCAAACATAAATGCATGATCAAAAGAGGATTTGCCAGTTAGGAGCATGAACTTGGGGCCAATGTTAACTTGCAAGATCGAGTACAACAAGACACTTTGCGTAAAGGGTCTTGAAAGACCATTTAATTCTTTATTTGGGGTTCTTTTTCTCGATTTTTTTTTTCAATCGATAGTTACCTAATTTTGATTATTAGTGTCAAAAGTTTAAAGTGAAATCATCACAATTAAAAGAAAGTTCAATCGGGGGACCAAAACATGATAATAACCACAGTGTGTGCTAAAAGATTTATCTTTTATTGAGGGTATAATAAATCCTACACATGCAACAGAACATATTAGGGGTGAACAAAAAAACTGAAAAACCGAAAAATCAAACCAAAAAACCGAAAAATCGAGCCGTTTCAAACCGTACCGAATAACAAACTGCATGTACAATTTTTTATTTTTAAAATACCGGATTATTCGGTTCGGTATGGTGGAAAGGTAAATAACCGAATCGAAAAAACCGAAACTATAAAATGACTTCACTTGACATAATATATGTATTATTTTACCCTAATTTTTATTTTCTATCTTTGAATTTCTTGTTTCATTCTAAGCATTTCTTCATAAATTGAGACATTGTATTTTATTTATTTAGTAATTGAAAATTTACTTGAGTTCATGGTTTTAATAATATAGTAAATGAAATTAGGAAAAAAAATAAAGCATAATACATCATCTAAATTACGTTGTGTAAGTCCTATGGGATTAAAGATTTTATATTTTCATTGCATTTAGTAAGTTGTGAAAGTAATTGTAATTGTATTCTTTTGTTGTACAACTTGAATATATAATTACTCTTGAACTGTAAAATAACCGAAACCGAACCGAAAAAAACAGAAAGAAACCGAACCGATAAAAAACCGACAGACACGGTTTTTAATTTTACAAAAAACGATATATTCGATTCATGTTCGGTTGTAGCCAAAAACCGAACCGAGCCGGGCCGTGCACACCCCTAGAACATAACCTATTTATGGTTAATAGCACTTGTGCCCGTATAGTTTGAACTTTATGCACATGAACTTCTTGTACTTTCAATGTAGAACATGACCCCTCGTATTTTAATATAAGCCTATAATACTCGAGAATGTATATTAAAACATTACATGTATTTTGGCAACAACTTGCTCTTATTGTCCTTCCCTATTTAAAATTAATACAAGGTAAAAAAAAAAAAGAATTATCATAATAACTTCAAATGCTCCTTTACTTATTTATTTTGAAATTATACTTTACATGGTAAAACGAATAAAATAATATTCTTATTATCTGAATAATAAATAAATTATACTTGTTGAATAACAATAATATTCTCTACTGATATTAAATTTGCTAAAGTACGTACTAGCATTAAAATAAATAATTTGTTACAAATAATAATATTATTATAAAATAATTTATGAAAAGTTATACAAAGATGGAAAGTTATATGTGATTCAACAAAGCTTGTCATATGCACGAGGGTAACTCGTGACAATATAATATATATAAGATGGCTCTCGAAGCACATGACTATCAAGTATTAACAAATACTAGTATGAAACAATTTTTTTTCCAAAGGAGTTAATATATAATTTTTTTTTTTTTTGTCAATGATTGAATGACAAACACTAATGTTGTGTAGGAGTGTGCACGGGTCGGTACGGCTCGATTTTTGCAATAAAGGAAACACGTACCGACAATATTGGTATTTCATATTTTAAGAACCGAACATGTCGTGTTTTTTCGGTTCTGTGTTAATCAATTTCGGTGTCAATTCGGTTTATTTTTTGTTTCGGTTTCGTCTAACGGTTCGGCATAAAAAACGACATTTGATTTACAGTGAATTTGGACTTTCATTACATTTATTTGAGAAAATTAACAAATAACAACCCAAAGTTAATTAATAAAAAAACATGTCACTTGGAGGCGTAAGGATAAATGCGCGCTAGAGGAAGACGGTAAATATTTATACTATATATCAAAACGACGTCGTTTTGTATAAGGGGCATGCTAAATCCCACATTAAAATTTACTAAATCCCACACATTAATTAAAAAAAAATATCTCTCTACTTATATTCTCTCTAACTTTTTTCTATGATGATCTTTTTCCAAATCACTCAAAATTCGTTAATCTTTCACGTGAATAATCATAAAAAGTGAGTTTAGGTTTATTTAATATTTTTCAATTTCATTATGCATTTTTAATTATTTAAATTCATATCAATTCGATTTTTTTTTTCTCAAATTCCACCTTTATTTTAGTTTGAACATGTGAAGATTTTTCTCAAATTCGAACTTGGAATGATATGGACGTTTTTAGTGTGTGATTTTGTGAAAAAAAATAGGGAAAAATAAGAAGGGTGGGGAAGGAAAAGATGAGATTTTTGAGAGAGAGAAAATTTCAATTGTGTGTATGATTTGGTAAAATTGGTGTGGGATTTAGCATATCAGTTTGTATAAATAGGTTTGGTTCGGTAATTTTTTTATTCTCCATACACAAACCGATATTTTCGGTTTTTCAAAAAAAAAAAAAAACATTACCGTATATGCAGTTTTAAGTCAAAACGGTGCATATCGGTTCGGTATTTTTGGTTTTCGAATTTTCGGTTTCTCGGTTTTTTTGCTCATCCCTAATGTTGTGTGCCTTTAAAAACACACGTTATGCATTATTATTATTATAGGTAAAAAATAAAAATTGAAAACTTAAGAGCAACTTCAATAGGGAGGGAGATATCAAAATGGAGTATCAAACACTTAATTGGTGTTTGATGTAATACTTTGATATTTCAAAAAAAAATTATGTGCTCCTCCTCATAGTTATCAAATAAAGTATTATCTCTTTATGCTTTGAGATGTCTTTATTTTTCTAAAAAAAGTCAACGTTGGAATTGCAGGAGCAATTTTTAAGGAATATTTGAGTCCTCTCTTTTTTCTGGGTACGATTTTGCACCTCAAATTCCTCCACCACCATAGGAGTACTTTTGAATTTTCAAGTACCAAAATAGTAATTTTATTATCCGATCCCCCTATTAATTCCTCTCTATTGGAGCTGCTCTAAAAGATCGTAAATTGGGTACTAAAATATCTCAAAAAGTTCTATTTTAGGAATATGAGAACTACGGTTTTGAAAATCCCACCAACCACCAATTTCAACTCTATGTATACAAACAAAAAGAGAATTAAAATAATTAAGAAAAACAAAAGAAAAAAGATTAGGCGGTGTTAATTACCTATCGGTGCTACAATACTCATAAAGTTTTCCTCTCTTGGAGAAGAAAATGGCGGCCACGTCGACATCGCAGAGAACAGATAACTCCCTCGCTTTCTTAATTAAACCATTTCTTCGTTTTGAAAAACAAATCATTCTCGCACTGTTCTCCTTGATTCGCTTGATCTCCAGCCTTTTTCTCCCCATTTTCGGTAAACAAACGGAAATCTCTCTCTCTGTTTCTTTTTTCTTTTTTCTTTTCTAGAGAGAGAAAATAAAATAAAATAAAATAAACTTTTCTAATTATTATGTGGATAAAACAGCAGCCGCCTTTCCTGGCCAGCATATTCTTGTTTCTTACACACAGTGTGTGTGTGTGTTCACTTACTAGAGGAGCTGGGGTAATCTATATCCCGAGGATAATTGGAATCTTTCATCTTTGGTGAACTGTGAGAGTGATTTTCTACCTAGCTGTAACTTTTAAAACAATAAATAAATAAATAATAATAATATATATGTGCGATTACTAACGTGTGTATATTAATAAGAGGGGTTGTCGTGGATAAGTCCTCAACCAAACATGTTTATTATTCTATGTTTATGAGCTATATCTCTTTCATCAATAAGCCCATCCTTTTAATAGTTATTATAAATATAGGAAACATTCATGTACATCTCAATATTACCCTCAACCATTTATACTCAATTCTTAATTGTAACCCCAATTTAATTAATTTTGTCCACAAAAATCTAGTTTTGACCACAAAAATTCAAATTTGACTTTTTTTTGGAGCATCATTTAATATGCTCCAATTTCATCATTAACTTAATTTAATATCAATTTGACGTTGACTTTTTTTAGTGTTTTTTTAAGTTTTTTTTTGATTTTTTTTGTTTGGTTTGTTTTAGTTTTTTTACGTCCGCCGCTAAACGTTGACCGTAATTGTGCTATCACCGACAGTAAATTAAGGTAATAATACTGTCAATGAGAGTTAATTAACGTAATTGTACTGCCGTTGACAATACATTTATGTAATTGTTCTGCCGTTGACAGTAAATTAACGTAATATTATTATTTTTTATTTTTTGTTATTTTTTTTTATTTTGTTTGATTTGTTGACAAGTCAACGTAATTACATTACTGTCGTTGACAGTAAAATAACTGTAAACAACATCAATATTATTGTTTTTTTGGTTTTTTTTTGTTTTGTTTGAGTTATTTACGGAGTAACGTAATAATATTACTGTATATTATTGTAATATTACTGTAAACACAATAATATTATTGTGGTTGACGGTATTATTACTGTTGTTATAGTTATATTGCTGTCAACCACATCAATATTATTATTTTGTTTGGATTTTTTTGTTTATTTGAGTTATTCACGGAAACGTAATAATATTTCTGTCTATTATTGTAATATTATTGTGGTTGACGATAATATTACTGTTGTTATAGTAATATTACTGTCACTCACATTAATATTAATTCTTTTGGTTTTTTATTATGTTTACATTTGTTGGACGGTCAACATAGTAATACTACTTTATTACACAATAATAATGAGTTTTGTTGTGTTAATATTACTGTGCTAGAGATTAATAGAGCAATATTACTCTGTAAAACTGTAGTTTAGTTAATTTTACTGTGTTTAACAGTAAGATAGTTAATATTACTGTCAATGACAGCAATATTGTTGTTTAAACGGAAAAAAATTACAAAAAAAAAGAAAAGAAAAAAAATCGAAAAAGTCAACGCCGGAAACCGGCGAAAAAATCCGGAAGAAGAAATAAAAATAAATAAAAATTTGAAAATTCAACGCCGGAAACCGGCGAAAAAATCCGGAAGAAGAAATAAAAATAAATAAAAAATTGAAAATTCTTGAAAAAAAAAATATTTTGGGTCAAAATTGAATAATTTATGAAATTTGGGGTCAAATTGAGGTTGAATAAAGTTAATGATGAAATTAGATCATATTAAAGTATGAGGAGTAAAAGAGTAATAGAGGTTTAATGGAGAGCGGAAGGAAAGAAAATGAGAATGGATTTTTGGGCGGCTGATGGGGAGGATCACGTGTTCATAGAATAAGTAGGGTTTAATGTGGATGAAAAATAGTAGGGTAATATAGGCACACCACTTAAAATAAGGATTTATGCTAAATTGAAATATGAAATTGGGGGGCTTTCACTAATATGCTAAATGAGATTATATCCATCATAATATACTCAAATGTATTCGGGAATTTTCACTAATTATCCCAAAATAAAAAGAAGGAATTTCAACTTTTTTGAAACGTATTATGCATTCATTGAGCATTAATTAATTCATATCTCTTAATACGAGGTTATTTATATGCTACACCTGAGTGAAAGTTACACTTGGTGAATTTTTATCATTGATCTACTGTTAGGTATTGGTTCTTTCAGACTCAGCCATAGATCCGTAACAACTGGAAAGAGAAATAAATCAATATAATGTAAAAAGAACGGCTCAGTTCCCTTTTCCAGTGTTCATTCAGTCGATCCAAAGTCTGGTGGTAACACCAACTGAAAACAAGCACCAAGCAACGACCACTGATCCAAAACCCTAGATCTGACCCCCAATCCTCACTCTGAGTTGACTCACCAACACATGCACAGTGAACTCAGTAGATAACTCACCCTCTCCACTCAGCACAAACCCAAATTTCTGCACTCAAATTACCGAAACCCTCACAGAAGAGGATTAAGGTCAGAAATTTCAACGGTCTTCAGCATTAAATGTGTTGCGACGGCAAGGACACCCATTGTCCGGCTAGACCTGCGACGGTGTCGCCGGAAAACGACAATGGGTGACGAAACACTGTAGAGAGAGAAGGGGACAAGATGAAGAGAGAGAAACGGCGCAGCAGAAGAATGCTGCTAGGGTTGAGAAGGGTTAGATGAATGGGGCAAATGGATGGCTCAGATTGAAGCCCTAAACCAAACGGTTCAGATCTTAGTTTGACTGGATCAGTGGGCTTCGGTTGCATTGGACCCAATTTCACAAGTTGGGCTGTATTTATTAAGAGATCGGCCCAGATCACAAACAGATCATTTCTATTGGGCTCAAACTTAACAAATTCTCCACTTGAGACCAATAAAAGGATTATTATGAACACACTTAATGGATTGGGATCATCATTGCCATAACTTTGAATCTTAAACACTAATCACACAGATTGTAGTAAGAGATTCAAAAGTATTTTTTTTCACGAAGGAGGAAATCACCAAGATACAGAAAATTTTAACATCACAAAGAAGTTAAAATAACAGAAGCTATCACAGAGAAAGCAATAAAAAGCTCGCACACAGCAAGCAGACACACACATGTCTAATTCAATCATGTTTTGAGACAATGTTCAAGATTCTCAAACATGATCTCAATTTTTCCACAGGTAGGCACTTAGTGCCCTTGTCAGCAGGGTTGAGTTCAGAAGGAATTTTCTCCAGGTCTATCTCACCTTTTCCCACCACTTTCCAGATAAAGTGGTATTTTATCTCAATGTGTTTTGTTCTGTCATGAAAAACAGGGTTCTTGCACAATTGTATACCTGATTGGCTGTCTGAGAAAACCACAACTTTACCTTTCAAGAAACCAATTTCTGAGAGCAGCCCTTTCAACCAGATAGATTCTTTTACAGCCTCAGTAGCTGCAATGTATTCAGCCTCAGTGGTGGAAAGGGCTACAATATTTTGAAGTTGGGATTTCCAGCTAATACAAGAACCATACAAAGTAAACACATAAGATGTGGTGGATTTCCTATTATCTCTGTTGTTGGCATAATTAGAATCCACATAACCACATAAGACAATTCCCTTTTCACATTTAGAAAATTCAATCCTTGTTCTAACAGACCCTCTTAGATATCTCATTAACCACTTTACAGCCTCCCAATGAGGCATGCCAGGATTAGCCATGTATCTACTCAAACAGCTTACAGCATATGCAATATCAGGTCTAGTACTTACCATTAAATACATGATAGAACCAATTGCATTAGCATAAGGAACAGATTTCATGTCACACATTTCAGGTTCAGTCTTTGGAGACTGTTCCTTACTTAGCAAGAAATGAGCAGCTAAAGGCACAGACACAGACTTGGCATTTTTCATGGCAAATTTATCTAAGATTTTTTCCACATACGCAGATTGGTTCAGAAACAAAGAACAATCTTTTCTGTTCCTAACTATGTCCATACCCAGAATTCTCTTTAAATCACCAAAAAATTTCATGTCAAAGTTTTCACTTAAACACTTTTTCACATGATCAATAGCTTTTAAACAGGGGCTAGCAAGAAGCATGTCATCAACATATATTAACAGGAACACATGAAATTGACAATTATCTTTGAAGTACAAGCAAGGATCAAATTCACTTCTTCTAAACTTCAAAGAAAGCATGCAAGAGTCAATTTTTTTGTTCCACTGTCTGGGAGACTACTTAAGGCCATAAAGAAATTTCTCTAACAGACAAACATAATCAGGATTAACAGAACAAAGCCTTCAGGTTGAGACATGAAAATTTGCTTATCAAGATCACCATGCAGAAAAGCAGTTTTAACATCCATTTGCTTAAGTTCCCAATCAAAGTGAGCAACTAGAGCAAGTAAAATTCTGACAGTGGTGAATTTCACAACAGGAGCAAAAATTTTAGTGTAGTCAATACCCTCTCTTTGTGTAAAACCTTTAGCTACAAGCCTAGCTTTATATCTAACAGAATCAGATTCATGCTTAATTTTAAAGAGCCATTTAATTTACATTCAATCACAGAGCACTTAGCAGGTTTAGGGACAAGAGTTCAAGTATGATTGACATGCAAGGAGTTAATTTCCTCTTTCATAGCAGATAACCACATAGCAGATTCAGAAGAGTTTAAAGCATCTTTGTAGCACTTAGGTTCATTATCATCTAAAGCATCAAACACATTGAACACATAAGATGCAAGCTGAAAATTATCAAGATGATGAGGTTTCCTAATTTCTCTTCTAGGCCTATCCCTAGCAAGTTGATAATCATGCAAATCATCAATATCAGGTAAATCAGACTCAACATTTTGATCAAACACATTTTCAGGCACAGAGGATGAATCATCATCATCATTCTCAATTTCCTCATTTCCAAGTGGAGGTTTCTCCACCTCAATTGGAGCAGAGGGAGGAACAATAAATGAAGGCACAGGTAAACAA